ATGCTACCAACAACTTCTCCTCCATAAATAAAATCGGTGAGGGCGGTTTCGGTCCTGTTTATAAGGTAATTATTGTGAATTACCTTTATTGTGAAATGAACAATCATAATTCTTCCTATGTATTTTACTTACATTCCTTTTAGCTAATAACACAATTTTTTTTTATAGGGTGTGCTCTCTTCTGGACAAGAAATAGCGGTGAAAAGACTTTCTAAAGATTCTGGACAAGGGCTTGTGGAGTTCAAGAATGAGGTTACCTTAATTTCAAAACTTCAGCACCGGAATCTTATTAGGCTGTTGGGATGCTGCATTCATAGAGAAGAAAGGATGTTGATCTATGAATTCATGCCTAAAAAGAGCTTAGACTTATACATATTCAGTTAGCCACCCTACAAAACTTGAGCTATTTCATATTATTTGTGCCTACAGTTTAAAGACATTGACATTTAACTTTTTGCATTTGAAATGGCAACAGATCAAACAAGGGAAACAACTCTTAATTGGAAGAAGCGCTTTGATATCATTGTGGGGATTGCTCGTGGACTTCTTTATCTTCATCGGGATTCAAGATTGAGAATTATTCACAGAGATCTTAAAGCCAGTAATATTCTTTTAGATAGTGAGATTAACCCCAAGATATCGGACTTTGGCTTGGCAAGAATACTTAGAGGTGACCAAACTGATATAAATACTAAGAGAGTAATTGGTACATAGTAAGTTCAACATCTCTCTATTTGTTTTTCTTTTCTATTAGTGTATAATATCCATATCTTACAACCTTGTATAGTTGTCAAGTGTCATGGGATTTATTTCTTTGTTTTGCTTGAATTTAGTGGATATATGTCTCCAGAGTACATAGTAGATGGGCACTTTTCAGTGAAATCTGATGTCTTTAGTTTCGGTGTCATTGTTTTGGAGATAGTGAGTGGGAGAAAGAACACAAGATTTGAACATCCTGATCATAACCTCAATCTTTTAGGACATGTGAGTTGAGACTTCTTAGTTAATTTTCTTCTGCTCCTTACTATATCTTTCTTATTTTTAATATAAATGATTCACAAATTAACAGTATGGATTTGTGTTAGGCATGGAAAATATGGGTTGAGGGCAGGCCCATGGACCTCATCGATGTTTTGATGGAGAATGTTCCTGCATCTGAAGTGTTGAGATGTATCCAAGTAGGACTGTTGTGTGTTCAAAAGCATCCAGAAGACAGACCCTTAATGTCATCTGTTCTCTTGATGTTGGATAGTGATAATGTCTCCTTACCCCAACCTAAACAACCTGGATTTTATGTTGAAAGAGCTTTTACAGAGTTAGCTGATTCTTCATCATCATCATTGAATAAGCCAAGCCATGTTTCTACTGATGTAACTGTTACAATACTACAGGGGAGAAGATAAAAA